AATAGGCATGGGAGGGACAACCCCCCTGTCCCTAAATCTAGCTACCTAACCCTTGAAGCTTCCATGTCCGGAAAAGGAAGCTAATGTAATATCATCCCATGTGCTATGTGCTAATGTAATATCATCAATGTCTTTCACCAACCAGGAAGTTCTTGAAGCTTCTAAGTCCAGCACTTTCATTAAGGTTCATTATGTAATTCAGTGTCCAGTCCCTGTGCCCTGAGGTGGCAGGTCAATAGCACAAGGTGATCACAAGATTGATATCACAGGTGGTCTTTCCGGCATGGTCAACCTCCACCCACAAGGACCTCACTAGGATACACCATTGGGTCAGGTGTGGTCTGGAACCCTCATGAAAGACACTGATGACCATCTGCTTTGAGAAAAGCTCATGTCAACCCCCCAGGTGGTGACAGACATTGATTGGCCATGGGATTGATGAGGTAGAGTCCAAGAGAACAGCCCTTGTTGAACTCCAGGCAAGAGCACGTTGCAATCAAAGGAGCCATTGTGTTGCTGCAAAAGCCGGGCCTCTGCCGGCCTCCTAATCAAGCCAAAAGACTCCAGGGCAGGCTGTGGCAAGGACAAAAGACAGCTGTAACCGGAAGATCGATGACACAGGGAGGCAGGTGGTTGCCTCCTCGACCTGCGTCCTGGGACAAAGGAAGGAGATTTTATACTTTAGAACAAAAGGGGAGACACTTGGGGAAAGAACAGCAACAATCTTGTAACTAATAAATCTTGTATTTGTTGACGTGTTAGGCCAGATTGACTAGAGAAACAAATTGGGGGCCATTCATATATGTACAAGAGAGTTTTAGATGAAAGCATAATTGTATATTAATGAAACATCCCAGCCCAGTCCAGATCAAGTCCAGAAGTTTGATACTAGTCCATAAATCCTTCTTCAGTCTCATGCAGCCACGTGCAATGATGCAGAATGCAGGAACATCATGGCCAGTGGGTGCAAAGTCTTGTGGATCCAATGGTGGTGGGTGCATCTCCAGGGCTCCGGCAGGTCTCCCAGCATGACCCCGAGAGGCTTACCAGCAGGTGAAGCAGAGAGTGTGTGGTCTGCCTCCAGGTAGAAAGAGGAAGTTCCCAGAATCCTCATGCGAAGGCCCCGCCCACAAGGAGGCATCCTCAGGCTGTGACTGGATGGGCAGTCTAGACTCCACCCCTACACTTCGTTATCAAGTTGACCTGAAAGTATGTGACTGCCACCGTTGACAAGCACCATGTCTTCCTTCTGCTGTGTTGGGCTTTGTGGCCCAAATGGTGACAGCACAAGGGAACGATTTATCTTGCTTTCTCCTGGGACTCAAAAGGACAAACGTCCGTGTCTTGAACTAACACTCCTCGTTTCTGGCCTAAACTCACAAACTGTTTCTTTACCTCGACCCCTAAATCCTCAGGAAATGAAAACAAAGCATACAGAAATCATTAAAATCTTCCTTCTCGACTTCCTCTTCACGTTATCCTACTTCCTCTTCACGTTATCCTACGTCTACTTAGCTCCTCTTTTCTTCAGTCACTCCAATAAGGAGTGCCTTGAGCTCTAACTTCTAAAGGCAAATGCGCTCCTCGGAGACGAACAGAGCAAACAAAACGTCTGAGGCCTCAGCAGGCCAGCAAGCGGCTGCAGTAAGAGCAGAACCATGGTTTCATGGCTTCTGGGATGGGATAGCACACAAGGAGCCCTGGTGGGGTCGTGGTTAGGCATTTTGGCAGCTAACCACACGGTCAGCAGTTTGAAACCACCAGCCAGCTCTGAGGGAGAAAAACGAGGCTTTCTACTCATGTAGTTACAGTCTCAGAAACTCACAGGGCAATTCTGCCCTGTCCTATAGGGCCTCTAGGAGTCAGCCTTAACTAGATGGCAGTGAGTTTTTTGAGAATGGGGTGTGGTCATAACTGTATGGCGATCCTGTAATCTCTTGTAAAATCTATCAAGACCACTAATAAAAACTAAACCAAACTCACTGCCATCAAATCAATTCTGACTCATCTGGACCCTGCAGAGCAGGGTAGAATCGCCTCTTGTTGCGTTTCCAAGACTAACTCTTCATGGGAGAAAAAAAGCGTCTTTCTGCAGAGGAGCAGCTATTGATTTTGAAGTGCTGACTTTGAGGTTTGCTAACCTCAAAGTCTAGGTGTTGAGAAAAACTGTTCCTGTGGTCGTGGAATTAGAGCTAGGGCTGCCCCAGCTGAAACTACTAAGCTCCAAGTGCACCACATCCTGGAATTGCTAGGTGGTCCCAGCTGTAAAGGACGCAAGTTTGATCGATTACACATAGAGGTACCTCAGAAGAAAGGCCAGGAAACCTATTTCCGAAAAATTAGCCATTTAAAAACTTGATGGAACTCTGTTTTACTGTCACACATGGGGTCTCCATGCGTAGGGATTAACTTCGGCGTCCTTTGGCCCACTGGCCTCTGCCCTGCTCAGCAATGTTACATAGTGCTTTTAGGGCTGCCAATTAATGCCCAAAGGGCGTGCTACTCCGGGCCGGCAGTCAGCTTGTTTAGCAAACCTAGTGAAAGGTTGGAGACAGAGGCGCAGAACAGAGCCAGAATTTAGCCAGGAATGTGAAGTGGAGAAAGATTTTATTGAGGCAGGGAAAGAACTCCCGGGAGGGAAGGGAGAGCAGCAAAAGGGACAGGGGCATCTTGAGCCCCCGTTGGGTTCCGTGACCCAATGAGTTAGGTCAGGGAAGTCGCACCTGGTACTGGGGCAGCGGGACATATGTAGGGCGTGAGCTTAAAGGCGTATGAGCTGGTGAGGGGAAGGGAGGTTCTTTGTGCTGTGGTTGCAAGTTTCGGTAAATCATGTTGTTCCTAGGAAACAATGCTAGGGGGAGGGGAGCTGTGTTCTGTCCGGGGAGGTAAGCTCTGCTTTGAAATTCAGCCAGGTCATTTGCCTTCTCGAGAAGCTGGTACAAGGGGCTGCTACCTTGGTCCGGCCCGGGCCCCAACACCTAGCTCTCCCAGTTAAGTCCAAGGAAGTACTGCACTTCATAAGCCAGCCTCCTGCCCAAAGGCACTCAGCTTTACTTGCTGTGGGGACTGGGAAGTCCACCACTCTGCCTCATGCTCCCGGATCTGGGTTCTGCTGCCACCGCTTCTCCATTGTCCCTTTGGGATCACTGTCTCCTGAATCGAGGAGGGTCGAGGCACACGGGTCTCGGGGTCCAAAGACATGCCCCATTCCTCATTCGTTTCTCCCACTTGCAGTGAAATCCCTTCCTTTTTGCTTCCAGGATGGCTCCTTTATATCCAGCAAGATGGCAGTCACAATACTGCTAACAATCACTCACAGCTGAACCT